CTGGGGCCTATTTCTATTATTCTATCAGAATTGTCACTGGGGCCAATTTCTATTGTACTATCAGAATTAACTGGCATTCATGTATCAATTACATTTCCTTTCTTCATCTAGGTATTTTTGTATTTTGTAAATAAGGTTTATTGTGTGGTCATTGAATAAAAATGCTATTGTGTGTATCGATGCTTGTTTATAACAAAATCCATACTATAAATCAGTGTACAAGTTGTAAGTGATTTTTTGTCAAATTTTGTACAAATTGTAATTTATACAAGCACTTTTTGTGACAAATCACAATTTGTACAAAGTCAAAATGCAAATTATAATTTGTACAATTTTTTTGTACTAATTATAGTTTGTACAAAATGATAACTTGTACACAACATATATAGATATACATATCTTTTTTCAGGACTTTAGAAAAGCATCAAATTTCAAATTGCTTCCAACAAAATACTACGCATTGTTCGTTCTAAGCGAGATATCACCAGATCGATGCATGGCACTAGTTGGATCCATTGGTAAATTTGAGAATGTAAAGTATCATCAAATTGACAAAATACTTGATGCCTTTCAATTTGATATAACTAAATGTAAAAAGGAAACATAATTCGAAACTTTCGTCTAACATTGCGTCATTATTTAACTTTGTATTTAAAAGTAAAATCATAGATGTTATCATCATACTGTTATATGCGAACTAAAAAAAATTTTGTCCGCCTTCTACCTCGCTAAGAAAATTGCATAGGCCGATGCGGCTCTCCGAAGCAGGGGCTAAATTTTGTGTCCGCCTTCTTCCTCGCTAAGATAGCCTCATATATCTAAATACATCAGTTATATTTAATGAGATGCTACAAGTACAAGTTGTTTTTGGTAATATTATTTGTCATGAATTTCAACTTAACTACACAGAATAAGCATTATTTCTATTGAATTACACCGACCGATAGATGGTCAGCTTATGAGACAGACAGACAGACAGACAGGGTTGAAAGTGTTCATGCTTGAAAGGAACAGAAGTGTTTTGAAAGGAGCATAAAAAAATATATGATTTTTCTTCGAAAAGGAGCTTATAGGCGTGACTTGAATACTATTACGCTTAAGTTCCAAAATACATTGCGTGTATGATCATACAATGAATGAAACTAAATCTATATCATATGATTATTCTTGTTCTTTTTTCTAATTCTTATATTGTCCCTTTGAAGACTTTTTCACTTTGTAGAACTGAATAAGATTTTAGCCGAAGAAACAAAATAACGTAAGCCTCAATCCAACACCAGGTAATGCAATATTGATTGAGTGATTGTTATAGTGGATGAAGTAAATATTCTTTTAAGACGAAATAGGTTACATAGAGTCATTGATCTCGGATAACATTGGCACTCATTGAGGAGTTAACTGATGTTTAAAATTCTACTTAAAATTTTATACAAAATACAATGTTGAGTTTCGTATAGTCTACTGGTACCGATTTTGGCAGATAAAGTAGTATATTTATTCTATGATTAAAGCATTTATACCACAGCCCGCCAGTTATGCACGGTCCTATTACATTTGTGAAGTGCAATTGTATTTTCACTCTTGATTAAAGAACTTATCATATTTGATAAATTTTCCTCTTCAAAACTGTATTAAGCATGATATTTTAAGTTTCGATTGATCGCACTTCTTTCTGGCATACGTAGAACTTTATCATCCCTAGACAAAATTTCAAGAAGTGAATCCTTTAACTCCGGTTATAAATTGAACATTATTTTTTAAAGAATTTAAATTTCAAAACCATAATTATCTACGTACTGACAAAATATTTATTGACAGCAAAGGAAAATTTTGGATTTGAAACTTGAACATTCATACTGTTTTTATATATAAAAAAAAGATTTTTATGAACATTTAAATATATTTGAAAAGTCAATTGTATAATTCGTGCATTTATCGTCTATTTGCTCAGTTGTATTGTTGAGTTATTGTTTCATTGACGTTTATTCCAAATGTCTCATTTATTTTCATTTGCAAGCTTATACAGCTTAGGTAATCTACTCCTGGGGTAGAAAATCCTTAGTATTTCGAAAAAAAGTTTATAAACAGTTGATTTAAGACTATGACTATGTCAATGATAATTAGCCTCTGGCCTTTGTTAGTCTTGTATGTTTTTTTAATTTTAGTTCATTTATATGTTTTGGAGTCCATTTTCATTGAACTAGTACACATTTTTGTTAAGGGGCCAGCTGAAACCCGCCTCTGAGTGCGGGATTTTATCTCCTAGTTGAAGACCCATTGGTGGCCTTCGGCTGTTTTCTGCTCTTTGGTCGAGTTGCTGTCTTTTTGACACATTCCCAATTTCCATTCTCAATTTTATTACATTATTATATAACGGAAAGTCCTTTAGCAAATGGCAAAATCAAAAGCTCAAACACATAAAACGAATGCACTTTGATACTTATTTAACCTATAACAACATTCGGAAACTGCCTCTCTGTCGCATTAAGATGGAAACAATAAAATTATGGCAAGTACTTTTAACTCGTTGACTTAAATTAAAGGTGGAGAAAGTTTCATTCATACATTTTAAATAGATTATGAAATTAAGCATTTACAATAACATATTTCATATGATCGTTCAAGAGGGATTCAAAAGCACAGCTTAAAATATGGATTAAAATGTGCAAAAATTAGGCTTTCTATATCGAAAGTATAAAGTAGAACTAGTATTTTCACAAATGGCATCTCAAAACGTGGAATATTTACGTCTTCACCTACAGAACTTGTTGTGTCCTAACTTTCCGTTTTTTTCTTCTTTTTTTTTTGGGGGGGGGGGTTACTTTTTAATGTAACATCTCCTAAAACAGTAAATGCATTTCAATGAATATTCCAGAGAGTATTTGGTATTTGATTGCATTGTGCATAGTTATTTCTGTTCATATAATTCGAACGATTTTGGAAAAACAAAACATGGAAGTTGCTATCTGTAGATTAAATCTCTTACTGTTGGTTTCATTATCCTCATATAATTAGTTTTATGTACATAATCTGAATGAGGTTTGAGAATATTGCACATATTGTAGCATAAAAACAAGAACCGTAACCTATGATTTGTATTGAATTTGTTAAAAGAGTGCATGATAACGACTACATTTTAAAGTATAAAAACTATCTGTAAGCAAAACCGTACACACAATAAAGTAAAATGTAAAAGACGATTGACAGGATTGTTTCCGGAATGCAAAATGAAAATAACCTAGTATTTAATATGCGGAATACCATAAATTTCGGAGAAAGTCGTGAAACAATTAATTTATTAGGATTCTTCTGTCAAGATGACATAGCAATAAAAAAATATAAAATCTAATAAAACAAAACCTTAAAAGGGCGTTAATTTCTACCGATATTACATAATGATCTTATGTGAAGGTTTGGAAATATATAAAGTTATTTTCAGTTTCTATTGCCTGCAAATGAAATTATTTTCATTGATAAACAAAATTTTGTAAAAATACACTAGTTTATCGAAAATGGCGACAAAAAAAACTAACTTTATCAAATGCATGAAAGCTAAACGAGCAAACTCCATCACCCATGAAAAACAAATGATTTGAAAAATCAATTTCGAAAGTAATGTTTTAAAAATTTCGTTCTACTAAAGCATTATTCAAAATTAACCGAAACAAAAATATAGTTATCAAATCACCTCTCAGTAAGTGTTCCGTGTATGTACTAGCTGACATAGCCAGCAGTAAATTTGTCGTTGTAAGACGTTAGTACTATATCAAAATATTCAAAATCGACATCTTTCATACCTTCAGCTTCTACTGGCAAAAGGATCATAGATGACACACTTAAACAACTACTGAATTAAATTGAAGAGATACTAAACATGATAAGGTTCTCACTATACATTGATTAACGTCAACATATTTCGGTTTATCCGACTTGTGCTCTTAGAACTCTTTAGGACCGGTGATGACATATTGTGACAAGGAATATGTAATTGATGAATTAAATATAACTTGAGTGTGATAAACTTACAAACGATACATTCGGTTCGTAGATTCGTATATTCACAGAAAATAAGGAAAAAACGATGCAATCGATTCGTAGATTCGTATATTCACAGAAAATAAGGAAAAATAATAATAACAGTATTTACGAAGACTCTTGGACAATTCAACAAACAGCACAATCAAGCGACTTCTACGAAAAATCCAATGAAGATATACAAGCAAACGAACAACACATGGTCCATATAATTGGACTTGGTATGAACACTTTAAACCTTCAAAATAAGACTATTTTTTTTTAAATTGATTTGCTTTATTAGTGTAAACGACCTTGTCAAGATTTGTCGACCTGGTATAGAAAGATCTTAGACAACGGAAACATCTCACTTGTGAGTTGCAACTCATAAACGTCGTCTCAGTGAACTAATTAATGATGATGACCTTAAAACTTATGATTTCAGTCGTTCTTCCTCGTAACCAAGCTTGACGAGAGCACAATGAGCATATTCCTTTTAATAAAGTTCGCATTACGTGAATATGCGTGTGCTTTACATAACAATAGTGATATGTTAACACCAATAATGGGAATGGGGGAATTTAATTGTTGAAAAATAAAAGCTTAAATTTTGATGACTGTTCACGAGCTGATATCCTAACATCTATTTTTAACTTGTATTCATTGAAAAAAAAAGAATAAACAAACAACGACTTTTGTTTTGTCAGGAATTATACAATAATCACCAGATCACCGTATGATATTTTAAAGAAAGTTCTTTGTCATGACTTCAAGTGAAATTAAATTTCCAAGAGCAGTGGGTGTAATTTAAGCTTGAATCACAAGCACGTACAAGAGGATAAGTAAATATTATAGAGAGAGGACGTGATACTTCTTTGTATATCTATTGTATTCCGTCATTGATTCTTACCCGTAACATGGATACTTTTAATGAAAGATGTCAAGTACTTGTTCATATATGAATTATAAGGATACAGGACTTGTTTTATTCTATTTAAAAACGATTTAAGTTCATTATTAACATTATAACTTCCTTAAACGGTTGTACTGAGGAAGAAAAAAGAATTACTTTAAGAAATGGGCGATCAAATTGATGAAGAGAAGGATTCTTTTTTAGAAAGAGGTAAGAACAGTAACATCGTAAAGGGTAATACTAAAATGTCGAAAAATCAGAAAACAGACAAACAAAACAGTCATTATATTGTGTTTAATGTTTTCCAATTTTTAGTTCTTTTACCTTAAATTTAATTGACTAATTCTTTATTTTTGGACAGTAAATTAAAAAAACCCACTTAAACAGTAAACTTTTCTTCGACATAGACAAATATTGAAAGAAATAATCTATTGTCAAAATGCAGATGAGAACCGAGGCCACTGGAAGAATTAAAACATTATCAAAATTAAAAATAAATGCACCAAAGAATGCTCTTTTTATATAAAGTCAATGAGTAAGCTAATTTGACGATGCCGCTCAATTGATCAAAGTTCTAGAAAAGTAACATGTACAATTTGTATATATTAATCAATAATAAAAAGACATTAAATACTGAATTTTTAAGTTAGAAAATCTCTATTTAGTCGGAACTCTTGAGAGAGGGTACATTGTATCTGCTTACAGAGAAGCTATTGAACCGAGGGATCTAGGTGGTAAAGTTGAAGACTTCCCTTCGAAAATTTTACTGACGCCATCTTGAGGTGGTTGACCGTTATGGAATATCTGCTTCAAAGATGATCACGGATATCATCTAAATGTCTTAACAAAAAACACTTCGTGTTTTCCTCGATCGTGACATCACCGAATGAGACTTCTCACTTCATTTGGCCTTAACATTAGTAACTTGATGGGTGTGACTAATGGTGCAATATCTACTCATCCTTATGGACCGGAGTATCTTAGATTATCCAAAGTTTTTGGTGGAGCTCGTAATGATCAGTCATTAGTTTTCTGTGGGGTGTTTTGTTGACTTTTTGTGTTTTGTCATGGCATTGTCAGTTTTTCTCCGACTTATTGCTTGTGAATGTCCACTTCGTATATTCTGCTTCTTTCTTTTTTGTTACTAAGGAACAGAGTGGTTCAGAATACTTTGACTGTGTAACTAAGGTAAAATGCCTTATATTGGACGGTTGAAAACGTATGACAAATGAAAATATCAAATATTATATTATAGTATTTAGTATTGCAGCATGGGAAACCCTCATCTCGATTCTTAGAAATCATTTCAAACCAAGGACTGTATACTTTGACATCGTGTATTGGTTTGGTTATACTTTGGGTAATTGTTTGGTTTTATCAGCTCTTAAACGTTTGTATTAAATTTTAGTGAAATATTCTAGGATTATTAAAGAGACATTGGCTGTCAAAAAGTGCATCTGGTGCAGTAAATTTGGTAGTGTTATTGTTATTACTACCACTAGGCAGATACTCCTGCTAGTAAATTGTTATTCTCTATGGTATCACCAGTCCAGTAGCAAGTGCACAAGTACCGGTATAACAAATATTCTTTTATTGAAACTTTTTGGCATAAAATTTTAGAAAGTATTTCAAGTACACGTATATTATATCTCCTTCTGGCTTGGCTCTGAATTTTCTCTGTGTTTTTGCTGTTTCTTTTTGTAATATAAAGTAATACAAGCTCTTCAAAGTTTGAATTAGGTTTGGATTTTCAAAAAGCTTGGATTCAAGCATACTTTTGATACATTGGTTGTCGAAAAGGGCATCTGGTGTAGTAAAATTGGTATCCTTAATGTTATTCCATTTTGTAATTAAATCTAAAAACAACAGTACGGAGAGTTAGATAAGTAAAAATATTTACACTTTGACTTCAAAGCATTTCTTTCTCAGATCAAATCAAATAATCATCAAAAAGTCTATATATTGACTAGATTTACAACTTGAACATATCAGCTTTCTTCTTATTGCTATCTTTCTTTGATACCTTAGATAACACAGGAAACGGATCTATAGTCAATAAAATATATAAAAAATATAGTTAAAAAACCTTTCAACAAAATTGTCTTTACCTTTAAATGCTAACTGCATATAATATGAAAATTGCTTAGAAATGAAAATCTTAGACAGTTGACCTTGGATGGATATGGCTATTTTGATGTCCTTTTTGGTAAAATGACTCTTTATTTTATAAGTGTTATACATCCTTGCTTTCAAATTTTCCATTAGCTCAGTATTTAGGTACTGACATACTGATATACAACTGACATTTCTTAAATTTTCATTGATAAATCATAAATTAATACAAAAATAAGGTTCCAACTAGCTCATGATCATAATGAAATTTGCTTTTCTTTGAACCTCTTCAAGTCAAATAGCTCCATACGTATTCAAGGAATTATGCATCCTTGGCTATTGTAATTTTGTTGACTAAACATTCCTGGTGATGGTAAAAGCAGAAACATTTTGCACGAACGATTTGTTTCTTCGTTTTGATCGGTAAATGATCAACTGTCTCTTTACCTCGACAATATTACGTTCATTCGGTCAGTGAAGTAAATAAGTTAAAAAGATAATAGTATTTATATGTATCTTTTTAATTCAGGTAAATACACGGGCACATCTAGTTCTACAGAGAGTGAAAGGAAAAACTGTATGCATGATACTGATCATAAAGAAGAACATACTTCGAGTTTAAAGAGCAAAACAACTCAAAGTCCATTCAAGGTATTACTTGAAATCCAACATAGTTAAAACAAAATAAACGTTCACTCTTGCAACTGATTTATATGACAAAGTTATTATTTATACAAGTTGTATCCGTATATTAGGTAAGACGTTTTTACCTTTTTGTCGACTAATGGTTTACTTTTACAAATTGTGACTTGGATGGAGAGTTGTCTCATTGGAACTCATACCACATGTTCTTATATCTATGAAAGGATATCAGAGTTTGAAGATAGAAATTCTAATATGATTTTAGAATGTTTAAGCGATGGATGAATGTAGATATGTTTATTTTTATATCAACAGATAACCAGTTCATAGTCTCTTTTCATTCATGGGGCACATACGAGATAACAGTAGTTTACTGACGTTGATGTATAGTAAATTAGATTTGAAAATATAAATTTAGATTAAAAATCTAAGAACATTTAATATGTTCAAAACATAGTCTGATTATAAACTTTGACGTTACCCTTTCCCAAAGAACATGCCGTAGTAAGTTATCGAATTCACCTCGGTGAACATGACGTATTTTTTTATTTTCTGTTTTATCGTCCGTAAGTGATAAATTTTCTCCTGATTTGAACAAACAATCGCTACCTAGGATGAGATATAACTCATGTTGATTTTTATACGAATTTGGTTATTTTTGTCGGTCTCATTTGTTCATACACGTCCTGACGTCTTTAAGAATTTATCATCTCTGTTTTTTTTTTTAATTTGGGGTTTCAGAGTTCCTAATAAAGGTTAATCCAGAAATGCACATTCGAAGCACAATATTTATCAAGTGCTATTTTCATTTAGAATAAAATCCATTCCTTCGCAAATGAGGACTATAAAACCAAATAAGGACAAGGAGAATTATACTTACACCTTGACACCTATGTTTAGCTATTTGATCTTCTATATTAATGATGTGCAGATCTTAGTTAAGCCAACTATTTATTATTTCACAATGTATCAGGAAATATCCAGCAGATCTTGTTGTTCTTGAGTTGAAATTGCGAAAGCTCATTCATTGGATAACTGGATAATATACAATATATCTCAATTCGTAGTTAATTTGCGCGGCTCTTCACAACTGCCCCATTTTTACAGATATATGAGGTCGATATCAGTAAATATTTACTAGTATAATATACATTTAGGAAATCAACCCAGAAATTTCAGGTTCAGGAATAGAAAAATCCGAAGTAAAGACAGTTCAATGGCTGCAGGGAAACATAGAAACAAGATACATTGCAAATCAAGGCTTCCAACACAAATTCATAACTGATTCATCAAACAAAGCCTCCTCGACACTGAAACTAAGGTATTCTATCTACATATAATTCAATTATGGTAAACGGCATGTTAATTCTGCAAAAGGTAAATCAAACAACCAATCTTTTACAAAATAGCAGCTAACATATTCCGTGCCAAAGGTATTAAAACGTTATCATAACTACAAGCTCCGACTACAGTAAATGAAGAAGACAAATCAAACGACAATAGACGGTAGGTGTACAATAAAATAGAAACATACCGACATGGAACACAGGTAACACACATTCTGTTTTTAAGATTGGGAGGGACGTAGATCCAGTTTCGTATCAACTATGCATTAGTTCACTGCGAATTATCACTCACAAAATATCATGATAGGAAAAAAACTCAAACAGTAAATTTACGGATCATGAAAGCAATGTACAATGTATCAGATACTGAGACACATCGTTTATCATTATGAGGCTGACTTCATACAGGAACTTCTTAGAAAAAAAGATAAGAAGTTAGCAATATCCTTTAACTTTACGTTCCGCTATATAAATGATGTTCTCTCACTCAATAATACAAAATTTGGTGACTATGTTGAACGAATCTATCCCATCGAACTAGAGATAAAGGATACTACAGATATAGTTAAGTCTGCCTCATATCTTGACTTACATCTAGAAATTGACAATGAAAGTCGGTTGAAAACAAAACTTTACGACAAAAGAGATGATTTCAGCTTCCCAATTGTAAACTTTCCATTTTTCTATGTAGCAACATTCCAGCAGCGCCTGCGTACAGAGTTTATATCTCCAAATTGATACGATATTCCCGGGCTTGTATTTCCTATTATGATTTCCTTGATAGAGGATTGCTGCTCACAAGGAAGCTATTAAACCAAGAGTTCCAAATGGTGAAGTTGAAATCATCCCTTCGTAAATTTTACGGACGCCATCACGAGTTGGTTGACCGTTATGGAATAACCGTTCCACAGATGATATCGTATATGTTCCTTATGTCGTAACTACAATACCCTTCCCTTTTCACGAATGTGACCTACCGAATTAGACTATTTACCGGATTTGTAATAACAAAAGCAACACGACGGGTGCCACATGTGGAGCAGGATCTGCTTGCCCTTCCGGAGCACCTGAGATCACCCCCGGTTTTTAGTGGGGTTCGTGTTGCTTAGTCTTTAGTTTTCTATGTTGTGTCATCTGTACTATTATTTGTCTGTTTGTCTTTTTATTTTTGGCCATGGCGTTGTCAGTTTGTTTTCGATCTATGAGTTTGACTGTCCCTCTGGTATCTTTCGTCCCTCTTTTAAGTCAACACATTCGTGTTAATGACCGCAAACTTTTGTGATGTCGGTTTGAATCGCTCTTTTGTATAACCTTGCTGAAGCAGATTTTTTGTTACTAAACATGCAAGCGCGAAACAAATCAGTGGAAATACTCAAAACTGCCATTTGATGGGAAAATGTGTTTGTTACTACTGGGAATTAGACAATAGGTCAACATTGTTATAAATCCTCGTTTTAAGTCCTCATTCTTTGTCAATTGAATCAAGATCAAATCTAAATCACCACCAATATAGAAAAGTTTTGAATACTTTATACTGCGACTATTTAGAGTCTTTAAATGTAATTACATTGCAGTAGACTTGAGTTTTAAAATTAAAACGTTCACATCATATTACAAGTTTAGTAGACCTTAACACTTATCGTAACTGATGCTCGTAGAAGCTGTTACAATTATCTTGGAAAACTCACCGTCGAAATAAATGATTTCTTTTGCAGAAATTCTGATCAACTTCTTGATATAAACGATGAAGATGTTACATTGATGTCTCATACTGAAGTATTGGGGCTCTTAGAAAAAATACCTTTAAATGAAAATGCAACGCTGGTATGTCTATTGTTTTTTACTTATTATATACACGTTACATAAAATTGTATATGTGTGTATGTTATAAATCTGTAACGGATTGAATATTTGAGTTTTGAGGTATCATAATGGTTAGCGTTCAAACAATTATTTGTACTTGTGTTGTAAATATGCTTAGTTCTTTCCCGAAACATTTAAAATGTGAAATAACAATATAAATAAATAAATTTAAAAAGCATATATAATCTTCTCGATATACAAGACTCGCTTCGCATACTAATACACATAGAAAATCATACAAAAACAATTATAAATAAAAATAAGTATGCGTTTGTGTCATTTCACTTGTGCTGTCCTTCTAACTCTGTTTGAAGTTTGGGATTCTCAAAATTCTTTATCGCCATTATTGTTTAAGAGTAATACTTCGAATAAAATCTGCATCTTTTAATATTATTGAATACCATTTATATATTTATAATTAGATTTACATGAGACCCTCGTCGAACTCTGTTACAGATGTGAAGTTTTCTTTATATAAATTTGAAGGTAAGTTTCAACAGAAAATAGACATTCATTTAAAATTATCAATAGAAATGAACAATACCAATGCATATACTATTTGTTTGTATTTGACTTTTGTACTTATTCACTTTTTGAATATTTGAATGCTTAATTACTACATGTTTCATCAACAGATATTGACAACGTCGTAATTTGTTTCATGCACGAATGCGACATTTATGTATTAATCAGAGTGAACAGTAGTTTACCGACGTTCAAATCTCAAAACTTCATTTTGAAGATAAAAAATGAGGAAATTGCATGCATGAACTGACATTGGCGATACCGGGTGTGTAGATAGGTTAGCTTTTCCTTCTATGTAGGCATCCCCCGCCATGTGAATTTACACTCAGTAACATTTTTTGCATAAAACAACCGACTGAAGTGCAAAGCAAAAGAGAAAACACGTGCCGTGTCGTCAAAATATGAATGATAAACTGTGCTGGAAAATTTCAGGTACTAAATTACCTAATTGTACATGTTTGATACGGTGGTTGCATCTCTCTCGCATACCCATGACCCATGATTAGGCGATTCTGGTGGTTTACGTTGTTTTTTAAAGACCTTTTTTTTGGTTTTATGTTGTCGGTCAATTTTGACTATCAAAATGTCAGTTCTCAAGCGTATTCAACATGTTCGATGACAATTACTTCTAGCTATGTCTTATGTACACGTAAATATCAAAACTGTTTAAAGAAAGTTCCTTTTTGCAAAATTAGTTAATGATATACAATACCTAAATTGTATAAGGCATTTAAAAATGAAGCATACGGAAAGGAGGATATATTAAGGGTAAACCATAAGATCGAGCGATGCTTATGTAGACTCGTTAAATGTATCTTTCTTTTTATATACAATTTCAGGAACTTTTGTGGTACGTTTACATAATCACTCTTCAAATTCTGTGGAACCAGATTCGACTAAGATTTGGAAGCGCATGGTTGTTTTGAATAAACAATTAACACACAAATTTATGCAGGCCTTTGGAAAACAGAGTGACAGAATCGTTTTTAAACAACTCGAATCCGAGGTACCAAACAAAGGGCCGTGCAAATTTCTAAACAGTAGGTAAACAAAACCATGTAGATATCAAATGTTTGCGCCAGTAACTGTAGTAATTTTTGTACTGAATCATGTTGTTTGTACCATTTGCGCTATATATGTATTAACTAACTGTACAAGTATACACATATGGTGAAATTGTACGCATACATATATGGTCTAAAGGAACGCCTACATGTGTGGCATAAAAACGTTCCGGCATGAAAGACACTAATATTGTCTAGGACGAATAAAACGATTTATTAAATAACCTGACTGCTTTTAAATGTAGTAATATTTGTTATGGATAAATATTGTTTTGTATGAACTTGTATTTTATCAATGTATTATATCGTTATTTTTTAGGTAAAGGCTCATTTTACACTTGATTTATTGCATGTCCTTTTCTGTGTTGATATAGCTGTTTGTTTTTATAGTGATTAAGATAATAACACAATGTTGACTGCTGTACCCCTATTTTTGACATTTTTACCTATAATACTCTGTATGTTTTGCTCACACATTATTGTCAATATAATGGAATTTTACGCGATTGTCATACAAGTGAAATTTTTAACTAGCTATAAAACCAGGTTTGATCCACCATTTTCTACATAAGGACATACCAAGTCATCAGGTGTTTTCAATTCGTTTGATCTGTTTGAGCGTTTGATTTGTTAGGGACTTTCCAATTTGAATTTTCGAGTTTTTGTTATTTTACTTTTTTATGGGTCTTAAATTAGTCTCTGGTCAAGATTGAAATGGTAAAAACTTGTTGAACTCCGTCATATATAAATATGCCTATCCCCAGGTCAGGAACCTTGTCAGTGGTTACCTCGTTGTTTTCGTTATTTTGACATTTTAGTGAGCATAGCAGAACTTTGATATTTTGTGTATAATTTATTTACAATTTTTTGTATACTAGAGACGATTTTGAGCTTGATATATCATATTTACAATTGATGTTCTCTACATGTCCTTTGTTTACTTGAATTGCTGGATTGCTTTTCATAAATAAATTACCCTCGTCTACTTTTATGCGTATGCATTCAATTCGTATATTTGCAGTGAATGTCAACAATGTAATAATTTTAGAATAAAAATTCGCTTTTTTTAAATCTGACGAAAATATCAGTTCACGATCGTCAGTCGAAAATATATGAGGTTTAATATTTCATTACTCGATTTGCCGTTGTGGAATATCTGTGTCACATATCAACAAGAATTTTTCAACTTGTCTTCACACAAATCTCGTCCTTTTCATTGTGACAACGCCAATAGTAGGAAAGGAACACTTCTGTTAACTTCCATCTTTTTTGGTGACGTTCGAGTTGAAGTGTGACGTATTTAGTTTAATGTTTAGTGTCTTGTTATTGTTATTTTTTCTTCGTTTTTGTTTTCTTTTTGTCATGGTGTTGTCTGTTTTTCTTTTGAGTTATGGTTTTTTACTTAGTACCCTAATAGCATTGTCTCTCCTTTGTCTTTGTAATTATATCAAATGTCAATGGTTTTGCCCTAAAACGCTCGAAATTTAAAATCTGCACCAACTGTAAAGAATTCAAATTGACGAAACTTAAATAAAATAGAACTAAACCACCATTCATTTTAAATCATGTTTATATATATATTACTTGAAATCGGAATGGTAAACATATTTTTTCAATTATTTTAGGTCGTTTTCTGGAGGAAAGAAAACTAGTAGAACAGTTCTATAGAAGGCGCTATTCAACAATATCTCAAAACGGAGAAAACAAATATCTGCACGTTACAGATGATGGCGACCTTACTCTTGTGCCTGTAATTAAATATGGGTTTGACTACTAGTAATCCTTGAATTAAGCTTTTCATTATATATGGTGCTGATTTATGTTCACATTTTTAATGTTATGTATCAGTTGTAGCTATTTTGCTGGTCTGTAGACCCTTTAATTTCGTTGGACGCTGAATAAAAGACATAATGAGATTCATTATATGATCCGTGACGATGAGAAGAAACATAAAATTCTTCAATCTTTTCAACGTTGAGATATTTTAATTGATTAACGAATAAGATGACATACATTAGACACCTCAGCGCAAGTTGTAAGTTGGGATATGTTGGCCCCTTAGCATTCAATAAAAGTAGTATGAAGCCCAAATTATAATATTGATGTCAGACAGACAAATGTCTAGTAAACATCTGAAGGACGTTATTTCATAGATTTAGAGAACTTTTTTCGGGGGAAAAAATGGTCTGTAATACACTACGCCTTTCCATCATTCATCTGCAATGGGACAGGTTTGTAAATTTTTTAAACAGTCGACTGCAATGTATTCAAATTTTTCATAACGGGGTCTTTTAAAGCCGACTATACGGTATGGGTATTTCTCATTGTTGAAGGCCGTTCGGTTGCCTCTAATTGCTTAAATCTACTTCATTTGAACTTTGGTGAATAGTTGTCTAATTGGCAATCATACCACATCTCCTTATTTTTTATAATGACAGAAATACTGGATTTTCCGTTACAAATTTGACAGGATTTTCAGATAAAACTTTCCACATATAGGTATTTTTCAAAAATGTGCATGTTTGTGTCCCGGCCAGATACCTTGCGTTCTATGTTCTTTTTGAACATATTTTTGTTGTTGCTAGAATAGTAGTTATTTATGCGATAAATGATAAATTCAAGTTGATTTAAGAATTCTAATGAAGACATTTTTCCGGCGACTGCTAAATGTGACTCATGGTATATGTGTGATGATTAATTGAATTCTTTTAATCGTATTGATTGACGAGTTTTCCTGATCAAAATATTTTGTTTCGTGTTTTTCAAGCTTTTTATGATAAAGTTTGGTCAAACTTGATATAGTCGGGTCAAAATATCATATCGTCATCAATAGTTCCAGTCAAACTTAATATCCTGGGGTCACAACAGTATGTTTTGAAAAAATTTTCATCGTACTTCAAACAACAGGATCAAATTGTTTGTAAAGCACTGGTAAAGGATTTTGGAAAATGCTGAACAGAATCAGAATAATACACTTTGTGAAACCTACGAGACTTGTAACTTATGATGCAAAAGATGCGACCCAAAGTTTGAGAATCTTGCGATTTTGACAGTTGTCAATTGCACGTCAGTACCTTTATATATGTACTTCAACTTAAAATATTTTTATATGTACTATCTCTCCATGCATCTCAAAATATTTCTAGGTAACATATGAACAGCTTTAAATATTACCCGAAAACTAGCAGTTCTCTCATAAATCTGTCAACAATAGAGGCGGATTTAAGGGGGCCACCCCCCCTTTATGGAGCTTCATTTATGGTTAATCCAGTCTTTTTACCGGTTCCACTACAAATTTTGTCTAGTTTTGGGTTTTTCAAAATCCTGGATCCGCATCTGAACAAGGCAGAATAAAAGAAGATTCTAAGTTAGTCAAACAATTAAAACATCATTTAGATATTTAGTTAAACATTACATACATATATCTTTTCAGAAATCTGGCAAATTAACAAACTTCGAATTCAAATTGATCCCAGCTCGGTTCAATGCATTTTATGTTCTGAATGAGATATCAACAGATCGTTTTATGAAACTTGAAGGAAACGAAGGTAAATTTGCAGATGTAAACTACAAACCAGATGTTGACAGAATTGGGGATGACTTTAGATTTGAATTACAGAACTGTAATTGCAAACGTTCGCATAAGTCTTGTGTGATTATCTGAAACTGTATATACAGATCATTATATACTACCGATGATATAACGATATTGCCATTTGACAATTAACCTATGAATTGTTTAATGTCTATATTGTAGCTTATACAAATGAAGTACATTCAAATATCCGGAAATGCTACACCAAACGTATATAAAATGTGAGCCCAATATAACAAAAGTTATAATATTTGTTGCGATTTTGGTAATTTTCCTCATGTCGTTCGTTAGGGGAAATCAGTTCTGTCTTGTTGATTAAAATGATTATACTGACAAACATACAGGTTGGCAGATAGACACACATGCACAATGAAATGCAGTTAAAAAATAGATAGATATAGAGATTAGGCGATTGACGCTTTGCTTTATTTATAAAAAGAAGAAGGATAATCTGACTTAACAGGCACCACTGTAATTAATATACTCATGAGTTGTATATGTTGCATGCATTGATAATGAGCTAAACAACTTCTTCAGTAACAATTGAATGTTATGCTTTGCATCTCGTTTATATTTAAGTTTTCGAATATTGAAGCATGGCTTGATAAACATACTTGTGAGTGTGTAAGTTATATAAATGGCAATGACAATCAGATTTGTCACTGCCTCTTCTTGTTGCTGAAACATTCCATCATGAACATAAAATTGGCATTTACAGAGAATATCAACCCTCTACTAATAGCTCAGCATTAGGTGCCACATTCCATATTTATGTACAAAAATGGATCCGATAACTTGGATCCCCTGAAACGTATAACTATTAATTGCGTAAATGGAAATATTTCATATATAGGTAAAATTTGGTTCAGGTGTTGGTTCGTAGAATGTTTTTGTTTATGTATTCAATCAATGCAAATGGATACGCTATAGTATTAGGATAAAAAAAAATAACACCTAAATTAAACGACGACTCAAAATACAACGTTTCACTTGTTTACGTCAAAAACCTGTTGATCGTCAAATTTCGAATGAAAGTAAACAATCTGATACTCTGATTTAATTCATCACAAAATACATCGCAGGAAATTTCAACAACAGACCTTAATTCCAACAAAATAATAAGTATATTTTATTATATTACTCATTAATACACTCTTTAAATAAAATAAAATCCTGTCCTCTTTCCTCCATTATGACATTACCGAATGCGACTTATCATCGATGTTTTACTGATCATGTTCAAAACGACGGATGCCACTAGTAGGGGAAGATATGCATATCCTTCTAGATCACATGGGTTCAAACCAGGTTTACAGTGTGGTTCCCGTTGCTCTGTCTTTGGATTTTTGTGAAAAAGAAGTTTTGTGTATTGGTGTGTTTCCTTTTGGTTTTTTTTTTTATTTCTTTTTGCCAATAAGAATGTCTGTTTTTCGACGTCTGATTGTTACGGTGCCTTTGATGTCGCCCCAATACGTGTTGTTGGAACTATCTGTTTTCAAAAGCTAGCCAGCACAATTAACATTAAAAAACAAGAATGAGAACAATAAGTTTTTGTTGAACATTAAGTTATAGAAAACAAAACAAACCCTTTCAATTGTCGGATAAAGTGAAGTTGTGTTTTATCGTCGCCTTGTCGTTTGGCATTGTTGCTACGATGTTGTCACGTTGCAAAAATTAGCAATCAATCAACTAAGAGTTTGTTTTGCTTAGAAACATTTTATAAGCTCTTATTTTTTAAAATAAGATTTGGATTGTTAAAACTATGGCCTCGAGCATCACTGAGTAGAAATTTTGTCGAAATGCGCATCTGGTGCAGTAAAATTGGTACTATTAAAATATTTTTACTACAACTGGGTCGGTGCCTCTTCCGGTGAACTGTTGGTCCCCGAGGGAATCACCAGCCTAGTAACCAGTACTTCGGTTCTGGCATGAAAATAAGGAAATTGAGTTATTAAAATTAGATATTAAAATTTTGGAAATAACTTTAAATTAAAGAATATATCTTCCTCAAGCAAAGCTCTGATTCCTTGTCCAGCTGTGGCTATACTTTTTGTTCGTATTAAATGATAAGCTCTTTACTTTTTAGATAAGTTTGGATTTTATAAATTTTGGCCTCGAGCATCACTGTTAAGACATTTAGTGTTAAATTGCAGATCTGGGTGTTAAAAAATTGGTATTGTTAAAGTTATTACTACCATTGGATATATACCTTTGCTTGTGAACTGCTTGTCTTTGATGGTATCACCAGCCCAGTAGCCAGTACTTAAATACTGGCATGAACATACACGTCGGATAGTGTCTTATTAAAAATTTCAATTACAAATTATTTAATTATTTTAAATTAAGGAATGAAACTACTTCTTTCAAAGCTCTAATTCCTTACCCTGCTTTGGCTATATGTTGTTTTTTTTTTTGTTATGACTCTTCATTTTTTAATTATAATACTTATTGGATTGCCAAATATTTCGGGCTCAAAGATCACTAAAGCGACATTTATTGTATAATTGCGCATCTGGTAAAGTACAATTGTTACTATTAGTATAATAATACTACTGGGTCGATAAATTCTGCTGGTGGACTATAAGCCACGATGGTTATCACCATCCCAGTAGCCAGTACTTCGGTTCTGGCATGAAAATACGGAAATTGTGTTATTAAAATTTGCTGTTACAAGATTATAGAAACTATTTTGAATTCAAGAATATATCTCCCTCATGCAAAGCTCTGATTCCTTACCCGGCTTTAGCTATACATTTTGTCCTGTTTGGTATATAACCTCTTCCTATTTATCAAGGTTTGCAATTAGAATTTCAAATATTTTGTCCTGGGGCATAACTGAAGAGTCATTTCTTGTCGAAAAGCATATCTTGGGCAGTATAATTGGTACCGTTAGAGTTATTATACTATATTTACTAATTACTAGTATAACATATCCATCATGAAATGAACTTAAATGAGTCATGTCCTCATTGTGGCTGATGAAGATGAACAAATACTGTAGTTATCCAAATCCAGGTGTCACCAAGGGCAGCAACTGTAAGGATATTTAACCAAATAAACAATGCATATATATGAATAATTAGGCACTAAACAATATATGAATATATTCCTATATAATCCTTGGATGTCAGCTTACCAAATTTAGCACAATATTCCCTAGTACATGGCAATAGTTCGCTCCTCTCATTATTCAATGAATTTCAATTCAGAAGAAAAAGCAATTTATCTTCAACTTCAGGGCTAAAGGGTATATATCTTTGTTATCTAACTTATGGACTACTCATTCAAGATATAATTTTCCCAGGTTTGCACAACATAGATTGGTTGATTGATTGATTGATTGATTGATTGATTGGTTGATTGATTGTTGGTGTGTAACGCCACTTTGAGCACTATAGGCTATATCGTGGCGGTCAGTTTTTATTGTAGGAGGAACAACCGACCTTCGGCAGGAAAACTGACAATCCTAGTCGATTAAGATTGGAGTAGAACTCACAGCCTCAGTGTTATCAGGCTAGTGATAAAGTAGAGAACTACTTAGACCACTCGGTCACCGGGGTTTGCACAAGTTAATTTATTCTGAAATTCTCTGATTTCTTGGAGATATTATTTTACAAGTTTTCTTTAAATAGTTACGCAACGCGGATTTTTTTTTTTAAACAAGTACAAATATTCATCAAATTATCATACAACTTTGGAAAACCAAATTGTCACGAGGTCACATCCCGTGTTTTCGATAATTTTTAAAATCTTCACCTAAAGAGCAGTGGGAGGATTGTACGGATATATTTAAGTCTAGATGTAGTTCTTATCTTCGCGGATGTAAATAATAATTGATATGGCAGGAAAATTCAAATGCACTTTTATTGATAAGTATTTAAACTATTACAATCGGAAAGTGTCTCTTCGTTGTTTTAAGACGGAAACAATAACATATGTCAAGTACTTGTTGATTCGTTGGCTTAAATATTAGGTTCAGGTAGTACGCTATTTCATTCAAAAATCAATAAATGAATTTAAGCATTTACAGTAATGAATTTAAAATCTTTTCAAGTGGTGTTGATGAATATCATAAGCAGACTTACTGACATGGACAATACAATTCGAGAAAAGGAGGATTTTTTTCATAAGAAGTAGTATGTACAGTGGAATCACCAGTTTTGCCTCTCTTTTATAATCAGAATAACTCAATTGTTTCAGCAAAAGAACGACAACGCAAATCCCCTTAATTTCTGTAAACAGACAAAATTTAATTTAAAACAAAATTCGCAAGACAAGGGATTTTACAAAATCACTGAAATAATTGAGAACTTGTTTAACAGATTCACTGGTTAAATTCAGGGAATTAAAAAAACAGATTCTTTTTAATAACATATCTTGATGTAAGTTAATATATTGACTTGCTATCCCAAGATTTAATTGAACAATGACTCTCTGAGTATGAAGCAAGCGGTTTTAAGTAGATTGAGTCAATCATTACAATTTGATCTTCTTTGTTTTGAACTGCATACTAGATAAAGTTAAAATAACATCATTTCAAAGACGAAAAAGGAAAAAAGGGAAAAGAAATCTGAACCAAAATACTTGCTATTAGACGTGCATCTTAATCGACGGGTCAGTCATCGAGACAAAAACAGATATTTTAAAATGCTATACAGTATAGAAAATTATTTGAAATTTTAGCAGTAAATGGTGACATTGTGTGCTACCATACAATTTGAATAGCTTTATATATTATGAACAGTATTCAAGATATAACTTAACTTGTTTACCATTTTAAAATTGCATCCTAGATCCGAATTCAAAGTAAGCTAAAATATATTTTTTAATATATAGGTTAGCATGACTATCTGCAACGTTGGGATGTGATAAAGTTATACATGTAAATGGGCGTTTTTTCCAAAAAATGTCCACTTTCTCTGTCCAGGGCTTAAATTGTGATAAAATCATATATATATTTTTTTGTGTTTTTTGTCTCTGTCTATAAATTGTACTTATTAAAGACAACGACAAAACTTTTTGTCTGTTTTGTGGTAATGACTCTCTGAAAATATCAGACCAAAGGGCTCAAAAACGCTCGATCCACATTTGAAAGTTATTCAAATTTTTAAAATTTCATACAATTTACCAATCTTTTTTGCTCCTTTTTCAATGTTTTGTCATAGAGCTACATCTGAACATAACAAAAAGTATTCAAATATTTAGATAAGTTCAAATAGATTTGTGCTAGTAACTTTTTAAGTGGCGTCAATGAAAAAATGTCCACTTCGCAACGACAAAAAACAAT